TACTCATTTTCAATTATTTCATTCCTGGTTTGATATGGATGGGTTTGATGAGGTTGTTCGGGACTCTTGGGTGTATCATGTATCGGGGACTTTTATAAATAATCCTCGGGTTATTTTTAAGAAGAAACTTTAGCTTCTTAAATCTAATCTTAGGGTGTGGAACTCTAATAATCGGGAGTTGGTTACTAGTAAGAAGAAAACTCTTCAGGAGATGATTGAGTCTATTGATGCCCCTGTTAATGGGAGATGATGGGTCTGCTTCGTTGAGAGAGCAGAGGGCTTCCTTATTGAAGGAGATGGTGGATTTGGATCATATTACCAGGGTGGAGCTTGCTCAGAAGACAAAAATACAGTGGGGTATAGAGGTGGATGAGAATTCGGGCTATTTCCATGGGGGTATTAATCGCAAGAGACGCCAAATTGCGATACATGATCTTATGATTGATAGGGCTTCAGTTGATAACCTGAACTGAGTTAAGGAGGAGTTTCATTCTTACTTCCAGTCTATTTTTCAGATCATCAAAAGTGGTGGCCTACGATTGATGCTGGTTATTATAATACTCTGTTGGATTCTCAGGTTGACTCTTTGGGATTCTCAGGTTGACTCTTTGCAGTCTCCTTTTGCTAGAGAGGAGATCAAAAAGGAAATTTAGGATTGTGGTTCCACTAAGGCATGAGCTCGGATGGTTTTACTTTTGGGTTCTTGAAGCAGAGTATTGGGATCTAGTAGTCGACGATATAGTGGCATTTGTCATGTACGTTTTTTACTATTCATCCATTCCAAAGGGATGCAATGCATTTTTTTACTATGATCCCAAAACTTAGTGACTTGAAGACTACAAAAGGCTTTAGACATATTAGCCTAATTGGGTTTCAGCATAAAATTATTGGCAAACTTTTAGCTAATAGATTGGGGGAGGTGATTGATAGTGTAGTTAGCATTGAGCAGCCTGCCTTTGTTAAAGGCAGACAAATTTTGGATGTTCCTTTCCTCCTGAATGAAGTGGTGTCTTGGAGCAAGGCTTCTGGAAATCCTGTGGTGCTTTTTAAGGTAGATTTCAAGAAGGATTATGACTCTTTATCATGGGATTATCTTTTGGAGATCATGCAAATTATGGGGTTTGGACCCAAATGATGCAGGTGGATTAAAGAAGTATTGATATCTGCTAGGGCCTCAATGTTCGTTAATGGTTTGCCTACTGATGAATTCCAAATTCATAATTGGTTGAGACAGGGAGATCCTCTTTTTCCTTTTCTTTTCATTTTGGCGATGAATGCATTGCATGTGGCTCTAACTAGGGACCAATTGAATACTGTCTTTAGAGGAATTTCTATTTCAGGGATAGAGATTTCTCATCTTTTTTACATGGATGATGTCATGCTTGTTTCAACCTAGGATCCTGAGAATGTGAACTGTCTTATTCGCATTCTTCGATGTTTTTTATGGCTTCAGGACTTAAAATTAATATGCATAGAAGCAAATTGATTGGAGTGGGTGCTCACCAAACCCAGGTTTCCAGTGTTGTTGGTAGGATTGGTTGTGTTGCGACTGAGCTTCTGATTATTCATCTTGGTGTTCTGGTGGGTCAGAATATGACTTGGGTTTCTGCTTGGTCTACGGTGTTTGATTGGTTCCGGAGTAGACTCTCGAGTTGGAAGGCTAAATGCCTTTCCATTGTAGGGTGGATTACTTTGGTTAAGTCTGTGTTGGGGTCGCTAGGTAGCTACTTCATGTCAATTTTCCTTACTCCTCTCTCAGTTTTGACTTATTTAGTGGCTTTGGGGGAGATATTTTTTTTGGGAGTAGATTTGGAAGAGATACGCATGCATTGGGTTAGATGGGATATATTTTTAGCAACTAAGGAGGAAAGAGGTTTGGGAGTAGGGAGTCTTTTCTTCTTTAATAAGGCTATGATGTTACGTTGGTGGTGGAGATTTTATTACTGCCTAAATCTTTTGTGGGTTTGTGTTATAAAATCTTTGTATGGTTCTGATGGAGGGTGTGGGTCGGTGATAACGAGAAGATTTGGCACATGTACTTTAAATAGAGTCATTCGTATGTTCACTCAACTTAGAGATAGATGTCTAGATATTCAGTCTTTATGTCCTATCAGGATTGGGGATGGGCGTTACACGTATTTTTGGCGGGATCGATGGGCGGGCGATGAGCCGTTGGCGACTACCTTACATAGGGTTCATGCTTTGGATACCATTAGACATCTTACTATCAGTGATCGTATGTCTAAGGGTTGGGAGTTGTCTCCTCTGAGACTTATTCCTGAAGGTGGAGTTGAGAAGGAGCAGTGGGATGGTGTACTTTTGATTATACAGATGCAGTCAGATCCTAATAGAATGGGTTGGATTATTGACACTATCGACACTTTTTCTGTCTCTTCTGCTCGTGGCTATATTGATGGTAGTATGCTCTTCACAGGAGGTGAGGTGACCCGATGGAATAAATGGGTTACCATTAATATTAATATTCTTATATGGAGAATTCCGTTACTTAGTATTCCCACTGTAGAAAGACTGTCTCATAGGGGGATTTCGGTAGATTCAATTCTTTGTCCCGTGTGTGCTGGTTGTGTGGAGACCGTTGAGCATCTGCTCACCTGGTGCACTGATCTGATCGACATTTGGACACGTATAGCTATCTGGTGGGGCATTCAGGTTCCGGGACAGATTTTCGTTAATTATCTCCTATCGTGGTCTTCGTCGATTTCTATGAGAATATGGCAACATCAAGTGTTCGATGTAGTTATGACTACCTTTTGGTGCATTTGGAATTTTCGTAATTCCTATATTTTTGGAGCAGTCATCCTAAAAAAATCTATGTTTTTTGATGATGTAATTCATATGGCTTTCTTTTGGATCTCTAATTAATGTATGAGAGCAAAAACTAATTGGAATTCTTGGCTTCATAATCATATTACTGCTACAATATTGATGTAATGCTTCCTTTCTAGCTTCTTGCTAGTTTAATAAATCTTCCGCCGTTTCAAAAAAATATTAAAAAAAATAAAAAATAAAAATATTACATAAATATACATTTAAATCCAAAGAAAAAAAACTCACATCCGTCTACTGTACTCAAACAAAAATACCTATATCTATTTTTTTTTACTCTTCTTTCTTCCTTTGATACCATTCAACCATAGAAACTTGATGACAATTTGTCACTAACCTGCAATCAAAATGTTTTTCTTGTCAAAGAAGAATCATAAAGATGTTCCAAGCAAAACAATGATGTTTGGAGAGTCACATTCAAGATTGAGTAATACATATAAATCACATATAAATATCACATGAGAAAATGAATATAAAGAAAGAATAGAAAAGTTTCATTAATGTTGGTGGATGGAAAAAAAATTCATATTAAAATTACCATTGATGATACATTTGTAACATCCTGTTTGAGGACGTTTCTTAATTCAGAATTTGAGGACCGTAATGCGATCATGTAAAGGCCTTAGAATTCATTGGAATGGAGTTTAGACTCTATTGGAGGTGTATGATGATGATAAGTTATTTAAACATTGGATTGTTCGATGGAAGTTGAGGGGTAACATGGGAAAAGTTGTATTTCAGGCTTCCTGCATAAATTAAGGATTTTAGTTCGAGATATTTTTAGTCATAAGTATCAAGATAGAATCGTAGAGCTCGTCAATACCTTTCCGTGGATATAAAGATTGTCGAAAACGGAGTTAGAACGAAGAAGTTACGGCTGTTTGAAGTTAAGCTGGAAGAAGAGAGTCTAGCAGTACGCTGGGCATACACCAGGAGTACGTTAGGCGTACTAGATTGAGGAAGTCGCATTTTTAAGGCGTTATGATGGGCTTAACTTTAGGTACATTGGGAGTACCGCCGCAGAGTAAAACCCTATTTTCGTGGTTTCGAGCCATATTTAAGGACTCTAAGCCCTTGGGGTCCTTCTTAACATCAACCTCCACCCCTGAGCCTCCAACTCGAAACCTTAGCCCCCTATAGAAAATCTTGAGCCTTTTTTATGTGTTTTGGGTGCATTTTGGAAGAAATAGAAGTCCAATCTTGTTGATTGTTGAAGCTCCAGCTTGTAGATCCATAGCCTACATTACTTTTCTCTACTCCAGAAGGTATAAAGTTTGAAACTTGATGATTCTTTTGTTAGATCTAGATTCAACGTCAACAGTCTTTAAGAACGATGATGACGACGATGAATAGATCCAAGCAATTAGTATTACTACAAAAATGATCTATGGATAAATTTATATCAAGGGCCTCATTTAATATATATATATATATATATATATATATATATATATATATATATATATATATATATATATATATAGAGAGAGAGAGAGAGAGAGAGCTAGGTTGATTTGTTTAAACTAAGTATTGTGTTATCGTATGCATAAATGTGGGCCAATCAAAATTAAATAAAAAATTAAATAATTAATTAAATAAATAAGGGTAAATTAGTCATTTGTTTAATAACTTCCAAAAATAATCCCTATAATTATGGTATCTCTCCAGTTTAAATCTCCTTCCCCTCTTTATCTAAAAACCGATTTCTGAAAACCCTAAATTGAACAAATCGACACCCCCACCCTTGTCCCTCCAGCCGTCATTTCCCCTTTATTCTAGTCTGCATCAAGTTCCGATTCCGGCTCGGAGTCGGACGACGAAGCTCAAGCTGCTCTCGAATTACAAACCCTAGAAACGGAGCTCTCGACAAGGAGCAGCGAAGCAGCGGTGCAGGTGAGCATAAAAACTATTGGGAGACCAATATGTTTCTCCAAACCGAAGAATTCGATAGGTAATCATACTAATTAACTAATCATATGATCTTCTCCTTTTCTCTGTGTTGTTTAAACCTGAATCCATCGTTTTCTTCTGCAATTTCTGAAATACAGTTGGGGCGGATTGAAGGAAACATTTTCCGGCTACTGTGATTCAAGTTCGCCGGACGGAACTCAGTTGTCGGCGGCCTCCAAGGGAGGATTATTCAAGAGGAGATAATGAAACTAGAGTCTCAAAAATCAGAATCTAGGGTTTACGATTTTGATCAGGACACAGTGTTCATGTCAACGGAAAAATCAAAGAAGAAAAGGATTCAGCAATCTCCAGATACAAGTGATTCAAGGGCCTTTCCGATTGAAATTATTGAAGTAAGTCAAAGTCTTGAACTGTTTTTACGTACTCTCATGATTTTATCTCAAATTGATGATTGTGTTAAACTGTTAATTAACAGTTAAAAGTGCCATACGTGGGAGAGAAGATAGCATTGGTGAGTTTGAAATGCAGGAAAAGAAGAGACACGATGATCAAGATTTGTGAGGTTTTTGAATCTTTGAAGCTCAATGTTGTCACTGCCAACATCACTGCTTTTCCTGAGACCCTTTTCAAGATACTCTTCATTCAGGTTTGCACTAGAAAACATACACTTAGGTGGTGTGTTCTTGACTGAAAACGAAGAAGAGAAGGAATGCAGGGGTGATTTTTCTTTTGTATTAAATATTGATTGTGAATCGATACAGAAAAGAATAGAGAATGGAAGAGTGTTTATGTAGATGATTCAATGGATAATATTGGTGAGATTCCAATTCTATTGGAATGGAATCATGAATTCCAATTCTATTGGAATGGAAAGACGAATTCCAATTCTGTTGGAATCACAGATGTTGATGCTTGAAGAACAGACCACAAAATTGAAACGGACCAAATTATTCTTTTAGAATGTATTAGTCGTTGTTAGATTTTGATGTTTTCTTTCCCATTTTGATTGTTTTTTAGTTTTATTCCTTAACAATAAATGTAATTCTTAACAATTGTTACCCGTATTCTATAAGAAATAATGTGTTTTTTGTTTTTATTCTTCAATTGATTATTCAAAGATTTGTTATTCTACAAGAAGTTTTTAAATTCATGATCAAGAAATAGGTTCAAGAATATTTTTATTATTTATGGTTCAAGAATATTTTTATTTTTGAATATACTCATAAACATATTCTGTCAGAATGTCCGAATTAAAAATATTATAATACGTAAAATCAGATTTTTAAAATTAATAGAATCTATGATCCCTTAAAAAATGCAATTTTCCTTTATTAAATCTATATTAATTGACTAAATTACCCTTGTAATTAATTAAGATGATATTTTCAATTATATTTAATTCAATAATATATATTAATCACTTTATTAAAATAAGTAAATTTGATTTGCCCATATTTATGTATACAATAACACAATAATTACTTTGAATAAAATAACCTAGGCATATATATATATATATATATATATATATATATATATATATATATATATATATATATATATATATACACCGTCCTCCTTTACTAATTTTTTTTCTATGAATGTTTATTTTTTATTTTGTTCGGAGCCTCAAATCAGTTTGAACCGATCTGGCTAAGTAAATTATATCTTTAATTTGTAAGTAAGTTACACACAAATGGGTAAATTCGAACGGAAATATCTGAAAAATAAGAAGTATTAAAAAAACAAGAGATCTGATCTTTGACAATCCAAAAAAGTATAGTGTATTCATTAAAATGGTAGAATATTTTAGTACATCCAATTGGTATGGATGATTAGGTATCACATGATTTTATATTATGTTTGTGATTGAAAACCAAGTGAATCTTGAGGTGAGTTGTTGCATTGATGGTTTGATAGGGAAAGAAGCCATACATGTTTGCCACAAAGACATGCATGAATCCCTTTAAAAATCCTCTTGTGATTTACAATTTTCCTTTTTTTTTTTTTTTTCTTTCAGTTTTATCTTTTATCTTTTATTTGTATTTTATAAAAAATATTATATTATCTTACCATATTTAGCTAATTTTATTAAAATATAAACAAAGTCTGCGTCAAGATCTCTAAGCGAGTTTTGTTTTTTTACTTTTTACTTTTTTATTTTTGGACAAACGAACGAAGTTTATTTAACATAAAATATGACCTAGTAAAACATTACATAGTAAGTTTTCTCTAAGCCAATCAACCTAGCTAATAAAAAATTTGATACAGACAAATCCGACGAAGTAGACTAGCCTCAAGAAACCAGGTTTCTTTTAGCGTAGATGTATTTTATACATCATATTTAGTTTAGCATGTTTATTTTATATATTTGCATTGCATTTAAGGTATTTTTGTAATTTTTGAAACATTTTATATGGTGTGATGGAATTGTATATTTGCACAATTTTTGAATGTTTTGCAGGATATTTGAATGTTGAAATATGTTTTGGATGATGCTAGGTAGTTGCGGTGCAAGTATTGAGAATATCGGACTAAAAACAAAGAAGTCGAATTTTTTTAGAAGATCGGACTAGAAAACCACTTGGTGGAGTGGAATCAAAGTGCAAAATCCACTTAGCGCAGTGGATGCCACCTAGCGAAACCCGGGACTATAAATACTCCTTTGGATGAGATTTACAACTCTCGACTTTTTGACTAAGAAAAATCAGTTTTAGAGAAGACAAAGCTTGAAGATCTTATTTGACATTGTTTTGCAACTTTGTCGGTTTAATTGACGCATAACATAGTTAATTATATTTTTGATTGTTAACGGCTAAAAATCATATTTTTTGATTTTTAATTCGACTTTTATGTGGTTAATTATGCTCGATTGATCTTTTGATTCTTTTTGAATCTAATGATTCACATTTTGTTTGATTTATAATCTTGAATTTTTTATGTTTCATATGATTGTTCACAAATAATTATTCATATATGATTATGGTGGTTGGTGGAGGATCTAACGACCCGAACTTCCTATTCCGTCATCGATATTAGTTTCCGTTATGTTTTCTTTTAAGTTACCTTTTTTAGCTTGGTTAAAGTTAACTTTTGGGGGCCAAAGTGCAAGAAAATAATTTTTGATCATGTATATGAGACATGAGGTCATTTTTCTCATACTTTAAGGGCCTATAATGAAAGTTATCAACTATTTAAAGAAGCTTGACCCTAAAAACGAGGAATCACATCATTTTATAGCCACCAAATCCTAATTTGCAGCCTCCAAGTCCCTTTGAAGTGAGTTCATAAGTGTGGTTTCCATCTTTGAGTTGTGGTGAAAATCCAAGAAGTTGGTGTGGTGTTTTTGGTGCTTTCAAGTAGAGTTTCTTCTTGTGGAGATCAAGATATCTTCCTTCCTTTATTCTCCTAGAAATCCACCATATTTCCAGAGGTATATGACTTATATTTGCTTGTCTTGTTCCATCTTTATGTCCAAATCGGATTGGTTGTGGTGGTGGTCTTGTTCTTGCACTCAAAGTAGTGTTTTGCCATGTGTTGGATTGTTTTGGGCATCTAAATGATTACCACCAAGTCTTTGGTCGGCGTAGGCATCCTAGGTATGTCCCTTCTGGTCGAAATCACCCCATGGTTAGCCAGAAAACTGAATTGGAACACCAAAAGACGCATTTCCCATAAGTTGTGAAACCGAAGAGCACGACACGCTCTCCTTAGGCGCGGCGCACCTGACGAACAAATGCGTTTTTATTTTGTTGTTTGGTGTCATTTATGATCCAGTTCTTTCCAATCTGTTGCAGGGTTTTTTTAGTTACTATTAGGTCGACTTCCTCTGTTCCTAACTCATTTCATTTGGACTAGAGGTGAGTCTTTCTCTGTTGTTGTTTGGTACATGAGTTAGGATTTGCATGTATTGCAACAAGTCTTTTGTTCTAGGATGTTGCATGTGAAGTTATAACATGATTATGTGTGAAATATGAACAAGATGACATGTTATTTTATGTGAATTAAGTAACTAGGGTAATTAATATGCTAGTTGTCATGATATATGGATTTGCGCATATTTTGAGTGTTTAAGCTCATGCAAGAAGTGAGGAATGAAATTATTGTGATAGTAAAGAGTTGTGCATGATGTGATTTTATTATAATTTATTTTGTATGAAATTAGGAAATGATTTCTAGAAAGTAAGTTATTAAAAGATATATTTTGTTACACGCTTTTGTATGATGATATGTGGTGATTTTGATTACATGCTTTGGTAGTATGATTTGTGGTGTATTATGACTTGAATTATTAAATTAAATACATGCATGAATACATAGTGAGGTGTGTGTATGTCCCATGCGAGTGAATAAATTAATTAAATATTAATTAAAAATGGGGAGAAATATAGCGGGGATAAAATGGTAGTAACATGAACTTAGGTGCATACCCTATCTGGATATTGTAGTGGAGGAATATTGTTGGACAAGAGCTTAAGCCAAAGTGTGATCGAGTGGTTTTCTAGATAACCATTTCGAAACATGGTACCGGTACACAATGGTATACAGGGACTGGAGTGATGTTGGCTACGCGTAGACGCCATATAAAGCATCATGTTTGGATGGGGGTATAAGCATGGAAATACCAAATGTACCACTCTCGAATGACAACACATCATAATTGTACATGCATTGTTGGAGTAGCAAAGGTAGCGAATCGGGGGTAATGTTACGGGTGAGAGTCGTACCTCACCTAGTGCATTGGGTCAAGCATGTCACATTAGTAGCGAAAGAGGTCTTGTACGGGGGAAATTAGCGATGATTAGACCCATAATAGCGATGGACATAGGAGTAATTATATCGATGATAAAATAAATAATTACTACAGTGAAATGTCAATAATTAACATATTCATAATATATTAATAAACCTAAGCGGTGAATGATGATTGGTAGGAACATGTAGTATGGTTGCTTATGTGACTAAATATCTTGTATGATATATGCATGTTTCCATACCTGTGTACTTGAGATTAATTCATTGTGTTGATGCTGACACATGTTTCTTTACTTGTTGCTTTCGCCTTGCATTGGTATAGGTAGTTTGATTTGATGGCTTGGAGAGGTTGGGGACACTTTGGGTAGTTACTTTAATATTACTTGTGTGATCATACCATTTGGACGTGTCGTTGAGTTTTCGTTGCACTTTTGGTGTTGGTTTTGAGAATTTTGATATTGATGGAACTAGTTTTTGATAATAATGTAACACTGATGATGTTTTCATAAAAGCTAAAATAAGACTTTTGCTTACATATTCTGGTTAAAATGTTTTTTTTTAAATAAAAAAATTGAGGTGAAAAATGACGATGTTACAAGTTGGTATCAAAGTCATGCTATGAGCGAACTAAATATAGAGACCGGTGTTCAGACTCACATTGTATATTGGGTCAATTAGGTGCTTTAGTTTTTTAAAGGGTGGAGGGTGTGTGCCGAGTGATATAAGATAGTTTCTTGTTGACTTTCTAAAATTTTCATTCCTAAAACTATTATGTGAATATAAAACTCGTCGTCATTTAGGAAAATGACCCACATTGAGGAGAATGTGAATATTGGAGGTACGAGGGGCAGCCAGGACAACCGCACCCCAAGGACACCACCATTTGCGTTCCAGACCCCACTTGTTATCTGCCATCCACGAGCCCAGCCGTCACAGACTGCATGCATCAACACGACTGTCGTTGTTATTGCTGATCTCTAAGAGTGTGATAGGGCGTTGGAGTAGATGCAGCGGGTCATGAGCGTCGTTGGACTACTACCAACTGAGGGCGAGGATAAGGAGGAACCACGAGAAGATGACGCCAAGATTATCTCGGTGTCCAGGGAGCGGATCAAGGAGCCTTTCGGGGATCACGACAAGTGACAAGGCAGTTTGTTCAAGGCATTTATTGACCATAAGCTCTTTATCTTTCGCGGAGGTGTAGACCTGACAGGGTGTATGCAGTGGGTGTGCAAGATGAACCAGATCTTCCGCTCGGACAATTTTACCGAGTTGCAACGGGTTAACTATGAGATTCTGATGCTAGAAGGTGACACCCTCGATTGGTGGGAGGCATTGGATTTAGTTATCACTGAGGTTACAGTACGTGCTATGACATGTGATATTTTTAGTCAGAAGGTACGATATCATTTTTGTACTCCTGGGAAGATTCGTAGGGTTGAGCGAGAGTTCCTGGCACTAGAGAAGGGGACTATGTCTATTGCAAAGTGTAACACCATTTTCTATGAGAAGTTGTAATTTGCAAATGGTTATTTCCCTACCGATGATAAATAGGTGGAGCATTATTTGGTGGGATTACAAGTTGAGTATCGGGTGAAAGTGAGGCAGCACAACACTCTAGCGGCTTCCATAGATGAGGCTCTAAGGGTGGAGGATGATTTATCTATGTCGGGTCATGTTATTTTAAAGCACGGGGAGAAGAGAAAATGGGAGGGTTCATTTGATTCCTCTAAAAAGAAGAAGAAACTTGGTGCAAAGAAGAACGACAAGCCGAGTTCCTGTGGGAAATGACATTCTTCTGACCAGGGTCCCTGTAGTAGTAGTACCATCAGTTGTATGAGATGTGGCAAATTGGGCCACAAGGAAGTAGATTGTAAGAGTACCAAGCCTATATGTTACGATTATAGTAGACGGGGCATATGATCAAGCAGTGTCCTGATCGGAAAGTTGAAGCTTCTAAATCCCCAACTCATGCTTTCTAGATGACAACGGAAGAGGCCAGACGTGAAGATAAGGTGATTCTTGGAACCTTTCTGGTTAATGATTTCCCTAATATGGTTTTATTTGATGTTGGTGCTGGTAGATTGTTTGTATCCCCTACATTTTATGCTCAGTTTGTGATACCTCGTAGTTCGTTGCGTCCTATGATAGACATTGAGGTAGTTGTAAGGAATTATGTTCTAGTACGGGAGAAATTCAATGGGTTTTCGATCATAATCTCTAGTCACACCTTTCCTTGGACTTTGATTCTGATCGGGATCAAGTCCTTCTATGTTTTCCTTGGTATGGATTTGTTGTCTGCCAACCGGGATGATATCATTCTCTATGAAAAGTATGTTCATATTAAGTTTGTTGAGGGAGGAAATATTATTGCTCATGGGCAAAAATCTATGGGGTCTATGCCGATTATTTCTGTGATGAAGGCACACAAGTGTCCGACGAGGGGATGTAAGGTCTTCTTGGCTCATGCGATGGAGAGCACAAAGCAGACAATGGATATTGCCGACGTGGAGGTGGTTATGGAGTTTAGCGATGTGTTTCCTGACGAGTTGCCTAATTTACCACCACCAGGAGAGGTAGAGTTCCAAATCGATCTTGTTCATGGCACAAATCCAATAGCCAAGACGCCATATCAGTTAGATCCTTTAGAGATTAAGGAAATATAGTCTCAGTTGCAGGAACTGTTAGAGCGGGATTTCATTTGGCCGAAGAAAAAAGATGCCTCATGCGGATGTGTATTGACTATCGAGAGTTGAAAAAAGTGACTGTGAAGAATAAGTACC